CTATGATTTATACTCAACAAAAACAACAACATACAACAACTGTGTTATAAGTCAGTGTAAACTTCTGTGTCTTTTCAGAAATGAACCATGGGTCTAAATACTTCAAAGCTTTGAAATGCTTTGTTATTTCCTGTTAGGAAATAAACAATAAGCAATTTGCATTTTTGGTCTTAGTTATTTACTCCTGCTAAAGTCAAGATGACGAAATTCTTCACCACTGGATTGATAAGCAGCATCATGATATACGGAGAAAAGATCGAAACTGTCAACAATTTTATCTTACTTGGATTTACAGTCATCACTCTTGGTACCGGCAGTTGGGAGATCAAGAAACATATTCCATCAGGAACATCTCTGCCATAAGGGTGCTCAACAAACTACTGGGGAGCAACGATGTCACTTTGAAGACTAAGATGCTTTGGATTCAGATCATGGTCATTTCAATCACTTACTATGCATCTGAGAGCTAGACAGTGACTAAAAATGATAGAAGAAAAATTGATGCCTTTGAATTATGACATTGAAGAAGAGCACTGAACATCCTGTAGGCTGATGAAGAGTGCAGTCTGAGTGCTCCTTTGAGGCAAGGATGTGAAGCTTCAGCTCACATATGTTGAGCCTGTTGCTAGAAAAGATTATTCCTTGGAAAGGAGCATCATGCTTAGAAAGGTGAAAGGTCAACAAAAGAGAGGAAAACCATCAACAAGATGGATTAAAACAGTAACTGCAGCAGTGGGCTCAAGGATGTCAAAGATTATGAGGATGACACAGGATAGGACAGAGTTCAGCTGTGTTTTTCACGGGGTCATTATGAGTTGTACTCAACTTACCTGCACCTAACCACAACTTCATAATGGATTTGAAGCCCTGATGGCTTAGTAGTATGGAATTAGAGTTAATGCAAAGGTATTTGGTTCAAATCCACCAGCTGTCCTTTAGAGAAGGATAGGCAATCTCCTTTGATGTTATAGCCTCTGAAAACCCTCTGGGGGGAGTCAGGTATGGGTCATTTATAATTCAGTGGTCCACAACAACAACAACATAACAGATATATTACAAGTGAATGGGTTTTACAGACATTTTTATGCTCACAGGCTAGGAAGCGAGAAGTCCACTATATCTAAAAGAAGGTATCCTTTCTCTGCCAGCTCTGAGGGAAGTCTTTCTCTCCTTTAAATATTACCTGAGGTTTCAGTGTCCTTTGAAACTCTTCATGTGTTCTGACATTGGTCTTCCTCTCAGTCTAGGAAGTTCTCAGTGCACGCTCTGCTCCTAGCTCTTCTTTCTTGAATATATTTAAGTTCCCCTTCTCTAAATGCTTCTATTTTTCTTATCTCTTGTAAGATAGTAAGTGACACAGGCCACATACCACAGAGAAACTTCCTTTACATCTTTTACATGATCAAGGCTAGGACCCAAATAAAGATGTTTTCTTCCACCTTCATTCCTTTACAATCGACTGTATGAGCTCAGATTACATCCTGGGAGATTGTTATCACATAAGACTGTCAAATTACATAATTATGCAATTTCTAAAGCCCTGAAAATCATGGCCCAGGCATGATACAAATAAATACTATAGAATTACTTTAGAAGAGTGGTTATTGTTTGCAAACTCTTTGGACCTAGGTTCATAGCAAGAATGAAAAATTCTTAGCAGTTAGCATTTATATCTTTAGTAATGAAGTTTTTAGGACTGGAATATGAAATTAGTCTCTCATGTTCTTTCAAGTCTCCAACTTATAAATTCAGTAACTTGCCAAATTATTTCACACCTCTCTGTTCCCATTTATTTAGCACTGTGCAAAGAAATACTACAAAACTCTTTTTCTAAAAACTGTGTTACAAAATCATGTTGTTTGTTGTTATTGTTAGTTGACATAGTGTCAATTCCAACTCATAGCAGTCCCATGTGGATAGAATAAAATGTCTCCATCAGATTCTCAAAATATGATCTTTTGGAAACATATAACTAAGGCCTGTCTTCAGTTAAATTTTGGCACAGTTTTGTTTAAATAAAATATTCATGAATAAATATACCACAATATGCTATGGTAAGGCCTCCCATATCTTGGTGAGATGATTATTACCATTGTAAGCTTATAAATTAAAGTGACCACAACAGGGAAGGTCTACAATTAGGCAATTAACAAAAATGGCTATGCAGTTTTTAATTAGCAATACGGTTGAAATGGTTAATCTGCTGCCTTCAAATCTGACAATCTGAGTTGTTTAAGTACAAACTGTATGCTGTTGTGTGGTTCTTATTTACAAATGCATTCACCTTGTTATTATTGCTATAAATATAATAACTATACACCCTTGGGCATAACAAATAAGGCACCAATCATTTTGAAAATCTTCAGGGGGATAAAATGACAGTTTGGGCTTGTTTTTCTTTTTTTTAAATCACATCTAGAAAATTTTCCTTATTAACTCCTTTGGAAAATTATGAAGAGTTGGCCTCTCATGCAAAACTATAAAGGACATAAAGGCAACTATAACATAACCTCTTTCCTTGAGGAACTCTCAGGCATTCTGGCCAGTGTCTAGCTTAATGTCCTGACTGCTTTTTAAAAGTCTCTGTTGGTTTGCTGGGCGCACTGGTGTCATAGTTTTAGTGAGTTGAACTATAAACAACTATGACTCTAAGGTTCAAGTTTACCAGTAACTCAGAGAAAATGGAGCATTTTCTCTCATTACGACAGCCTTGGAGACCCAATGGAACATCACACTTTTCAGAAATCAACTTAATGGCACTGAGTGAAAGTGTGTGTGTGTGTGTGAGAGAGAGAGAGAGAGAGAGAGAGAGAGACTCTCTTCT